CATGATGCCACAGACCAGCCTCGGTTGCGGTGGTTGTTTTCGGTGCCCTACTTATCACATGCTTTCACTTAATAAATGTTTCGCTTTCTAGGGAAGGGTTTGGGTAAAAACCGCCAAGGACCCAGTGAAAAACCCAAGGTCAGCAGCAAGCATGAGAACGGTCGTGAACCTCCTAGCCATGGGCGTAGTTACGGACGTGCAACTGGGTACATTCGAGAACGGGAGTTTGATCGCCGGAAACGGAGTCGTTCTCGTAGCCGTTCGCGCGATCGTGATCGACGACGAAGCCGTGAGTTTCTTGTGTCCATCGTTTGCTTTTTGCCAAGCCGTGTTTACCTAGCCATAGTAGCAGTTGCTTCTATCAATTATTGTGTTAACAAGACATCCCCATTTGACCAATATTTAGCATAAAATGCAATTTTCCCCATTGTTTGTCCTTTTTCATCCCAACATCTGGTCATACTCTCACCGCTCTTTTTTGATAAGCGAAGTATCTGGGACCAGCGTACCCTTTGAACATGTTGCCTGGCTGAAATGAACTGGAATTACATTCTAGGTACTTTCTTTCCCCACAGCACAGTGATACAAACCAATCTAGTGGTTTATTTTTCCGGCAATCGAGTTGGCTGCTGTTTAACTTAATGGAACCAACACTCAGAAGACAACAAAGTAACAGTTCACCCAGGAGTCACAGAATAATTGATCAAATATTGCAGTTGGCTTTTTGTTCAGAAACTAACCAAGCGAGCACGTCTACTAGTGGATGAAGTGTTTATCGAAAGCAGGCCAAAATGCGGCGGGCTAGTATCAGGTTGGGTGTGAACAAAGCTAACGCGATTTGCTCAGGCCCTCTCTTCGGAAATCCAGACTTCGTGAACCTGGACGTAATCACCAAGAGTCCGCTTAATTCTTGTTGGGAGTCTGCTTGTCAGTCGTTTTAGGCTTTGAGAGTTGTGTAGCAAGTTTCAGTACCACTGACGAGTAGGAATAAAGAGAAACACGATAAAGATTTGGCGGATGTGTGACGACACTGCCTTCCTGTGCTTCCACATAGTGTTTCCCCTGCAACGCCCCTTATACCGTCCCTCCACAGCCATCCGACTAGAGCATACGGACATGTTACTAGTTATCCGGTATCACCTAACATAATGGTGGAGGGTTTTTTGCCGTGGGTGACACACATAACTAGAAATGCTCATAGGGAAGACTACTCGTTAGCGGAATACACTCACTTGCATGCCAATTTGGTTTTGAGGGGAAAATCACATAGAACTCAGCCTAACCTCTTTCCACAGCTGCGGTATTCTTTGGGCGCTCCGTGTGATTTTTCAAAGAAACTACATGGGGTCTTAACAGTCCAAAAACCGTCGTTGATTCGCTCCTAACGATATCGGATGATAATAGGCTTAATCGTTATCTTTCACGTACAGTCAAAAACGGTAGTGCACAAATAGCTTGTTAAGGTTAATGTGACAGTGAGATTTGTCGGTCAGCTTTGTGGTGGTATAGAAAATCACTCATAGTACCATCGCACCTTTAGCGGCCACCTCGGGCCCAATATGTATGTCAGAGGTATTTTTTTCAATTGTAAGGTATCGAACAGGGCATGTCCAATAAATTATGTTCGGTAATTTGATGGGGAATTCGCCTCATTCGAGGCGAATTATGTCAGAGGTATTTTTTTCAATTGTAAGGTATCGAACAGGGCATGTCCAATAAATTATGTTCGGTAATTTGATGGGGAATATTTTCGCCTCATTTCGTATCGCAGCTGGTTGTCCCACTTGTTTTCTTGAAACCTTAGTCATTGGTCGAAAGTCTACCCCTAGCTCATTTGTGGATACTTTTTCTCTCTAATTTACAGGCAGTCGGGACAGGTATCGAAAGCATCGTAGCCCTGAAGGTGATAGAAGCTCCAAGCGTGGTCGTGACCGGCGTGAGGATATGATGCGACAATATGGAGAGTATGGCGCCGAAATTCGAGCGGAGTACAGTGGAGATATGTGAGACAGTCTGTTGGCATTTCCGACATATGCATCCTCCCCCACTTCCCGCTGTACTCAAAAGCATTCACATGTGTAAACAACTCAGTACATTTTTATCTTCGCAATAAAAGTTACAGATATAAGCGCTGTACAAAACATGAAAGCTATTGGAAGCCAAAGCAGCGTAGTTTGAGATTATATGAAAAGAAGTTCAGTCAGCCGTGGTCAGAAATATCTGCACCTCTTGGAATTCACTTTAGTAGTAGCGTTTTGCTGCCCGAGCGTAGCAGTAAGCCAGAATCACACCACAGAACTGTTAGTAGATAGAAGAGAAAAAGGGAAGACTAACTGCGTGGCCGGTCTTTTCAGGATGGAGCTTTTGAAAGTCTATTGTGATAGTGTGTGCTCAGGACATCTTAGGCAGTAAGGCGCGTAACTACTAACCGGAAGGTACGTGGATTTTCCTGTCTGGGTTTGGGCTACTTGACAACATTTCGGCTCGGTAGCTATACATGGAAAGAGTTTCATTGATAATGCTGCACAAGTTGCTACTATCATACGAAGTGAATCCGATTATGGGATTCCAGTGGGTTGCAGAGCTCTTAGCCCAATGCCTTGTTATTCCGAGGTAGCCTTGTTCCTGTTGACCACCCCTTGTGGCTAGATGGCGACAGTGCCGTTACATATTATCAAACAGTTTTCCAGCAATTTCCACGAAGCCTTGAACAAGTGGCCTCGTGATACGCTTTGCCACTTACCTCAACAGCAATAAGTGACAGCGCAACGACGCAGATGATGTAGTAGCGGTCACGCAGGCGACCAAATATCGAATCCATGCAGCCCTGCAAACGGAAGAGGGGAGAACAACCTTTCCATTTGGATTGGATTAAGATATATCAGACGTGAGCTGAACAACCTAATGATTATTACAAATGATGGCGATGAAATAGTACTTTCCAAAGTTTTATTTTGAAGAGGGAAAATAGGGTGAAAGTCCCCGCCCTCGCACACTTGTGGCGTATCTCGGCCCTAAGCCCAACGGGATAGTCCGAGCAAGACTGCAGCGAGGATCAACTTTATTGTACCAACTCGACAGTGACGACATAAACCAACTCGAAGGTGAAATACTACCCATGTTACTAAGCTTGAGCTGAGTCAAAAAGCGCTGCAGTATTTTCTCGGCGAAATAGTCCTAGAGATGCCACCTTTAACAAGGGTTATTGATCTTTAAGTGTGAGTTGTGCGCATATGTAAATCCTACCAAAAAATGACGTGTACACGATGCAACACGTGAAATTCAGTTTGGCCCAGGAATCATACCTTCATGTCTAGAGTATCAACTGTGGAAACTAACGAGATTCGCCTAGGTCTCAGTTTACAACAATATCGGTTTCAAAATGATTGATTAGTTCAACGTTCACGGTGAAATTGCCACGAGCTCGAGGACCGTTAATCAGATAAGCTATAAACAAGAAGGGACTGGCGACTGACCGCGGAGTTCGCTGCCTTTGTGTATATTGTACGACCGTGCCCAGTATATCGCCCTAGTCTCGGCCCTAAGCCCAACGGGATAGTCCGAGCAAGACTGCAGCGAGGATCAACTTTATTGTACCAACTCGACAGTGACGACATAAACCAACTCGAAGGTGAAATACTACCCATGTTACTAAGCTTGAGCTGAGTCAAAAAGCGCTGCAGTATTTTCTCGGCGAAATAGTCCTAGAGATGCCACCTTTAACAAGGGTTATTGATCTTTAAGTGTGAGTTGTGCGCATATGTAAATCCTACCAAAAAATGACGTGTACACGATGCAACACGTGAAATTCAGTTTGGCCCAGGAATCATACCTTCATGTCTAGAGTATCAACTGTGGAAACTAACGAGATTCGCCTAGGTCTCAGTTTACAACAATATCGGTTTCAAAATGATTGATTAGTTCAACGTTCACGGTGAAATTGCCACGAGCTCGAGGACCGTTAATCAGATAAGCTATAAACAAGAAGGGACTGGCGACTGACCGCGGAGTTCGCTGCCTTTGTGTATATTGTACGACCGTGCCCAGTATAAAGATCGCCCTAGTCGTTTTAGGTGATGGGGCGGATCGCCGCCCGGTTGTAATCTGTATGATCCTGTGTCTGATGTTTCCTCCACCACAGTTTCAGGATGTTCTGAATATCTCGCCTCGTGAATATTACAGCTAACATGATCGTAAACCCGCTCGCCATGGCCGATCCAGTCAGGACTCCAACAAAAGCAGGTATCTTGATGGGGCTTAAGATTGATATTTCCTGACTTCCGACCAGGTTAAGACGCTTCAACTGATCAACCTTTTTCATCCGGCTGTGACAGGCAACCAGATTGTCAAATGAAATCGAGTTGTTAGGTAAATGTAATCCTTGACCGTGTGTGCTGTGTGCGCCATCTCGTTAACTGCTTTAGCGCAAGTAACCACTGGGGTAGTAGAATACGTAAACTCATCTGCTTCACAAACCGTACTCATTCCACAGCTCGTCCGCTGCGGACAAACCCAATTACATCATGACGTGAAAGCCACAGCAACTTGGGTTCTACACATCAGGCAAGCTTCCGCACATTGCCACGTACGATTCACACAACTGAAGCAATTGCAACCCAGTTGTTTGACAGTCCGCATTCTACTCCTACTCGACCTTCACACCGTCAACCCCTCAACATGAATGTGCAGATCCCGTCTGTCATGCCGTATTCAAGTACATCCGATACAACCGTATGGTACATGTGGGATTCCCATAGCAATCATAAAACAGTGCGAAAACGGTGACGAGAATAGGTTTAAATGTTTGCATGCCATAGAGAGGGAATACGGGCCGCTTAATCGTCAAAATCAGTTCCGACCATTGTCCAAGCACCATAGTGCGCAGGCAACTTCGCACCAAATGGGCTTTTCACACAACGAACTGGCAGGACTTGGAGAGTGGCCAACGCTGCACGTCCACGCGTACGGGAGTGCAGTTGATGGATACTGGATATAAATGTTAGAGGAAGCCTCTACTCACCCTGAAAGTGGAACCGTGTACTGGTTACTCCGGAGTTACGGGAAGGCGGCAGAGTGATTGTATGCACGGAAAACTATCAAGAGGGTTGGGGGATTCATCGGTGTTAAGTTACGTGCTATTTCACCAGGAGGGTGTCTATATCAAGGTTATAGGTTTATAGGAAGGGGTTCCGTCTTCCAGTGAAGAATCGGGGGTTTCTCGGTCTATAATAGAGGATCTGTATATATACGGTGGCTCTATGCTATACTCTGGAGCGTGTGAAACCCTCCCGGCGGATATCATTGGGTTCACCTGTTAATCCGTTCTGTAAATGACTCACCTTAGCACAAGACATTTCACAGTGTTTATCCCACAAGGTTACCGGGAATGATTTTCTTCGATTACAATTGTACAAGTGTGCGAGAAAAAGACTGCTGCCAAAATAACTAAATAACTGGAACTGCGTGAAGTTTTCTGGAGCCAAGCTGAATCTGAATCACAACCGATAATGTAGCTAACCACAAGTCTGCCTGCTCGAGCCCCTAAACTGAGCTACTCAGCTGAGTCTCTGAGCTAGGGCTCTCAGTCCCCAAATCCAGTCCTACAAAAACTACCAGGTCTTTTTTCCATCCTTACACGGGTTGTACACAGCGAAAAGTACTTAGCTGGCATCCACAGCACAACCCAAACTGTGAATGATTACTGGACCTACCGGAAACTATCAAGCAATTTAGCCGCCGATAGACCACAGCGCAGACACTACACCCGTACACTACCGCAAAGCTATGGGCGATCACCCAAGTAACCGTACCAAAGGCTGATTTTAATCTCATGAATGTAAAGACTGTGAGCCCTTGATGCACATTTCGTGGCCCAAACAGCTGGTTGGATGAGCTACCAACATTTTCCTCTTTAGAAAGCTGGTTGGATGTCTGTTGTATGAAGTATATGAACAACATTGTACAACTTAGTTCAAATTTCACTCGCGCATTAACTAATCTCGACGTTGAAATGGCGTTGCGGTATGCGTCTTGCACCTTCAAATTACGGTGTTATAACAAGTTCAAGCAAGTAGACCCCTAAAGCTGATCACGTCATCAGAGCCATTATGGGTAGCGGACAGATTAACCTTTCTCGATAGTTTTGTCTTGTCGTATAGCAGCATCAAGAAAGAGGTTGACGCATGAATCGCCAAAGCCCATTCCGCTTCCCTTCAGCGCAGGCACTTCTGAAGTCGATGTGACATTCTGTCGGTGAAAGACGGGTGGGCAGCGCGTCCAGTGTTACCTTACGGTCATGAAGCATGACAGCTATCGGTGTCTGCGAAGCACAGAATATGTAGCATGGTAATATGAAAATTAGCAACGTTGAAGAGTGATTAACAGTTTTTTTGTAACGAACCAGCTGATGAGTTGACTTAGCTGCACGAACTACGCTGGCTGAGTCACGTGATCCCTGTGCCAAGTGATTGACTGCCTCACCATGCATTGTTCGCTAATACAGGTTTCCACTGAAAAACAAGGCGGACAGCACGCGACCTGGAAACGGAGCACGAAATACAAAAAAGGTATTGGCTGCATTGGAGCACTTCGTCCGAGGTTGGGGTGTCAAAGATCCACCATATTAATGGATGGACGTACTCACCAACAGCGTAGTGCCATGCAACCACTGGCGTGTTTATTCTCTCGCTTATGTTCATTAATCCTCCGTCCTTTACTTCCTTTTCTATGGTGTTGTTCTGTACCCCCTTTATCTTAAACTACCCGTTGTCAACCCGTAACGACTCTAACCACCGTGCAGATGTACGAGACTCATGGCTGTCAAACTGGACCGAACTGAACGGCTTTCAGAAACCGATAAATTATAGGTTCTCCTACAGACTAGGAAATGCTAAAACTAGACATTATCTTCCGCAGACATAATAAGAGACCGTGCTCCGCCAGGCGATCAGTGTGGGTCCATGAAGAGTGCGAAGACTGGTGGAGTAAGCTGATACCCAGACTTGTAT